TTACACTTTTACCCTTTATGAATGAGAAACATGTTAATTTAAACAAGTTCTACGTTTTGTTGTTTTGCATTAGATAGTGTGGGTCGTCATCGGGCGAACCGAAGATCATGCTATCAGTTACTCACGAAACAAGAATAAGTGGTTCACAACCCAGATGGACATGAACACCCCATTGTGAACGGTTGTAGTGTCAACTGTACAGTTGTCTTGACTGATTAGTAGCACTAGTACATTTATGTATTGAACAGGATCCCAGAGAGGAGCAGTTTGTTTTATACTGATCGTCGTAAACGAACTAGGTCTCGGTTAATTACTGCGTACTCTTAACCCGTAAGATATTAAACAGACTTATATGTGTAATATTTATTACTTTGATTCACATGGGTGAGGCTTAGTGAATTGAGCCAATAGACCCGCTGTCTTGGGTAATATTGCTACATGTAAGATGTGTTGTTAGGATTGCGTTAGTTTGATGATGTCCCCGGAGTGAGTTCATGAAGGATTATTATGCTAAACCCTGCAGGTGGATTAAATTCCAGCATAGTAATAATGTGATGAACGAATGCTAGCTTCGGTGAAATAATAATAAATTAATTAATTCTTGATTGTTAGTAATCGAATTAATTAATGGACATTATATCTTAAACATGGGGAGATAAATCGAGTAATTATTATTGGAGTCTCAAGTGTAAATTGGGCTAGGAAAAGGAAGTGCAGTAATATTATGTTGGTAGCCCATTTAATATTATTTAATTAATTAAAATAAGTGGCTTGGTCCACAAGTATTTTAATTAATTAAGGAATCATAATCCTAATCTCCTAAGAATCCCTACTGTAGCTCTATATATACATCATTAAGCTCACGAGAAAAGAAGAGAATTCCACCTCTTGGAAATCACGCCCCACGTCTCTCTTCTCTCTCTCAGTTCCCATTAGAGCTTTATCTTCTTCTTGTTGTTCCACTGGTACAATATTAAGAGGTGTTTGAGATATACAATAGAAGACCTTTGGGTAAAGTGAGACGAAATATATTTGGTCGTACAGAACTAACCGGAGGTCCGATCAAGACGTGCAGCATCCCAGACGACCGTCTCGACGAGAGCTTTCTAACGCCCTGAGATCACAGCCATTCGACCGCCCACGTGCCCGCACGCGCCGCCGCAAGGTCTCAGGACTGCAACTTGTCTTAATCCGTTTTTTGCACTCGTTTGATCCGGTTTTCGATCCGATCTTGTTCGTGAAATCCTAGGACGCGATTTGCAGTCAACAATTCATTGGTGTGCTGTGTACGGCCATCCAGAAGATCAGCCAGATCGCCATAAATTTTTATGCCGTAAGTTCTCTACG